GTGTATGACCAAATCAATTTTAAAAAATCAAAACAACCTTGAGACATCCTCTGTAACTCTTTATCTGTTACACCCACATCCATATGCTGCCCCATCAGCTCTCTGTTCTGCCCCTTCTCTAACTCGTACCACAGGCCACATCATCTACTGCCTGTACCATTCCACTAGCCTTCTAATAGTCTTTCAGCTTCTCGTTTCATTCCGTCAGTCCATCTGCTGTATACAGTCAGAAGATCTGATCACATTACTTCCTGACTTAAAATTTGTTAATGGCTCCTACTGTCTACCTACAGCAGTATAGCATATTCCTTGGCATGAAGTTCAAGATGCTTCATAATCTAGTTCCCTACCCAACTCTCCAGCCTTATCTCTTGCCCCTCCTTAGGCATCACCCTCCAACCACAATGAACTACTGGCAGCTGCCAGAATTTAACACTGGTTCTCATCTCAATACCTTTGCCTGTGCTCTCTCTGAAATGATCTGGCTCCTTGGAAGGACTTAACCCTTCTTTTTAAGCCTCCACTGAAGCATTTCTTCTTTTATAAAACTTTTCAATAGATCTCTCCACTCCCATAACCTAAAGAGCTGACCCCACTCTCCCCCAAATATAGTTTGTTATGTACAGTACATATAAAACTTCATTGCACTTGTTTATACAGGTGTTCATCTCCTCCTACTAGTCCATGAATGCTCTGAGAGTGGGAACTGTTATTCCATCAATCCTTAATATCTAACACAGACCTTGGCAAGTATAAGACATTCAGTAAATGTTTGTTAAGTGAATATAGTAAGTATGAATAACAGAATTTATAACTTGGACTCAAAGACTCTTGGACTCTAATTTATACCTTGGGAGACTTCTCCTTAATCCCAACAATGCTGCAACTGCTCCAGACATGTTTGGAATGTCTTTCTTGGAGTGGCCTTCAAAGCCAGTTTTAGGGCCATGCAAGGTAGTTGCTCAATCTTTACTTTTAATTAAACAAAACTGTTTCCAGCTCTATTATTTTACACTACTCAGAAGTTTTAGTTCCAAATAACTTTAGATCAGCTCTTAAAAGCAATCTTTAAAATATGAAGACTTGCCATTGTTAAAGAGATCCAAAAGACTGTGCCATAGGATAAAAGACAAATGGCTTTTCCAAAATGCTTTGTACAATATCAATCTTTGGAAAGAATTAATATTCTCAAGGTGACCATTGTAAAGGTAATTCTCATTCTGCTGTGGGAGTTCTAATACATTTTCTAAAGAAAACCAGAATCACTAGTACGGTAAAATTTAATACAGCAGAACTTGCAATCAGCGACAAAAGTCCATGAAATGGGTTTTCAAATAATGCTTGTCAGAAAACAACAACAAAAATTTATTGTTCTAGACATCCCGGACAGATGGACACCACCCTCTTGCCTAAACACAACCAGGACACGTGGGAATGGGAAGAACACTGAGCAAGGAGTCAGAGCTCTGGTCTAGCCTAGCTTGGATTCCAATCTATATAGCCTGTATAGCACTAGCAGATAGCCTTCCAGGCCTCAGGTTTTTTTTTTTTTCCTTTTCATAAAATAAAGTAATCGAAATAAATATCTAAGGACTCTTAGTTCTAAAATAATCCCTCTTTTCCTATTTTTCCCCTCTCTCTGCATCCTCTCAGCAGAGAGATGTGCACTTTAAAAGAAATCTCTAATAAATAAGCCAAGAAAGAGATGTTTACAAATGGGATCAGTCCTCATAATTAGTTGCAGGAGGGGGAAAGGTGATTTATGGAAGTCAACTTTGAGGCAACTATCCATCCACATCCCATCTCTGCTGCAATCAAAGCCAACTGGGGGCTCAATCAGAAATAAAGAAAACTGGGTTTCTAGAAACAGAGAAGGCGTCTTGTTTTGCTATTTTCCATATTTTAGTTATAAGCTCCTTGGGGGCAGGGATACTGCCATTTGCATTCCTTTGCATTCTCCACAGCACCTACAAGTAGTAGCAATTGTCCAATGAACGTGTGTTGATTAATATCACTGTCCTTACTTGTTTACATGCCAATCTGCTCTCCCAGACTGTGAAAGCTTTGAGGACAAAAACTGTCTACTTCCACCTGAATTCCCAGTGTCTAACACAGGCTGCTGCATTTCAGCTTGGCCTGTCACTCAGTTATCTAATATTGCAGTGTCTATGCTATGATGCTTAGGTGCTGGGGAAACAGAAGTGGACAATACAGATATCATGGTCCCTGCTATCAGAAGTGGACAATACAGATATCATGGTCCCTGCCATGTTTCCTCACATTCCAGTTGAGGAAAGAGACAATGAAAAAGTAACAAATCAAGTATTTCCTGATTTTCACAAGTGCTCTAAAGAAACCAAACAGAATGTGGAGCTGAAGGATAATGGGGGAAACTCTGAAAGGAAGCTGAGGGAAGATATCCCTAAAGAGGTCATATACGGTCAGAAGTGGGCAATGTGGGTGAAAAGATGATGCATTTAGGAAAAGCAGCCCAGGATGGGGGATGGGATATTGGGAGTGAACACCTCTCCCTAAAGCAAGATATGCCCCCAAGTGCCCTGTGACAAATTCTCAGGCCTGTCCCAGAGCAATTAGGAAATTACTATGAAGCAATGTTATAGCTCAGAGTATGAAAAATTTTTTTAAAAAGCCTGCCAGTCTCCCCGAGTCATCCCTAAAATATCGCTGCTAAAATTACTCACTGGCCTCACCGTCACCACACCCACCTCTGTGGTGCTCCAGCTCCCCGCTAGATGTCGGCACCAAGTTCACATTTCACACCCTTGAGCTCAAGGCTTTCATCACTTTACCTCTGCCCCAAGAACCCTTTTTCCATCTCTGCCTCACGGCCCACTGCTGCCCAAGCCCATCTCTCATCAGCCCCGTTGTCTCCTTGCCACCTATCAACAAGTGGGAGAGCACAAGAAACACCATGAGGACACACAGAAAGAGAGCTTCGGCACCGGGGAACACGGATGGGCACAACAGCGGTTGACAGAGGAGCTACGTTCAGGCTCTTGGGGGGCAGGCTCTTCCACTGCAAGAGTCCAAGACTAGAAGTTAAAAGACCTAACCTCAGTTCTACCACCAACTTTTAAAAATGTTTATATGGGCAAGCCATATTCCCCTCTCAAAGCCTCTCTTAATGAAAAATGAAGAGGGTGGAAGGGAATAGATCTATGTGTCCTATGCTTTGTTTCTCAAGAATCCAAAAGTTGAAGCAAAATCACTAGAAATTTCAGTAGGGAGAGAGCTGCAAACAGCCAACATCAGACTTAAAAACTGCAATTGCCAAGACAAACGATGATAAGTTAGCATTGTTGGGTAGAATAATACACTGTTTAAGGAGATGACAGGTTCAAATCCTGGTTCTGCATACTAGACACCTCCTAGCGTCTCTTTCCTCATCTAAAAAGTAGGGATAAAGATAGAAACTATCTCTTAAGAGCTATTATAAGAAATAGGTAATTTAGGTAAAACATTCAGTACAGTGTAAGCATGCTACAATTATTACTAATAACATGACTTCTGACTGTGTGTCAGACATCAAGTTCTTCACCCAGGCTTTCTCTAGTCTACACTGCACCTAACAAATCCAAACTCCAGGGGTGGGGCCCAGGAACCTGTTTATGTAATAAGATCCCCAGAGGATTCTGAGAACCGGTTGAGTTTGGCAATCACTTCCCTACAGCAAAGCATATCAGTTCAGTCACAACTTACTTACCTAGTGCTTTGCTGATCTGTTTATCCAGAATTCTCAACAAGGCATAACCTGGTATAACGCTAATCTAAGATCTCACCTAACTAATTCCCAATGAACTCTAGTCACCCTTAACCCACTTACCACGTCACCTCAGCATTTCCAAAGTACAACAAACTGCCAAACCAATTTCCTAAATCAGTGTTTCCAAAAATGGAGTCAGTATGGAAGAGGACATTAGGCAGGGTGTAGACTTTTTTTTTTTTTAATAGTCATGTATTTTCCTAAGAACCTTTTATTTTAATACAAGAGCATGGACCCTGAAACCATGTTACTCAAATTACTCATATCCCAGCTCTGCCATTGGCTAGTTTGTGATCTTGGACAAGTTATTTAACCTCTACAAAACAGAATGATAATAGTACCTGTAGTGTTTACCTCATAGGGTTATAATGAGAAGTAAGTTATTATATAAAGTGCTTATTTTATTTAAGTATTAGCTATTATTGTCATTATTCATGGCAAAAAGTACTGGTTTTCCATTTATATAATGATTTAATGTTCCCTTTAAAATTACTTTAACAATGAGTTCATTTTACAAATATATAAAGTCAATATTGGTATATGACATAAAAGGACATAGTAAAACTTGAGAGCATGATATGCAAATTAAGTAAAAAACAAAAACTTGTAGCAGGGGGGAAAGCCAGGAGCTTGGAGAAAAGGATGCTATCAAAAGTAAGGGGCCAAATGCATGTTACAGAAGCCTTGAGGAAGTCATTTCTCATCTCTGGACCTTGGGTTTCTGGTGTGTAAAATGAAAAAGTTGAGCCCTTCTGGCCTCTAGGAATCTGAAATTTGCATACAACCTACATTTCCCTTATTGTATTCAGAACAGTTTCCTCAGTGAGTAAGCAACGACAAAGAAGGTACAGTTCTTGGAGACTAATCACCTGAGTGGAAAGAGGTTTCTTAAAAAGATATGTAACAGAGTTTGGCCTATCATACATGCGCATCATAGCAAAAAAGAAAAAAAAGCGTTATGAATAGAAAGAGGTCTCATATGCAGAAAGCTCTCAAACTGAAAAAAGATACTGGGAAGGAAGAGGGGAAGAACCATTTCTAAGGATTATCATGCTTTTTTTAAAGCCTAGAAAAATATAACTTCAGACTGCTTCCGACTTAGTGCTAAGAAAATAAAATAAACAAAACTAAGCATCCAGTCAAAGGTAATACAGTCATCCCTTGATATCTTGAGGGAACTGGTTCCAGGACCCCTGAAGATACCAAAATTCAAGGATGCTCAAGTCCTTTATATAAAATGATGTAGTATTTGCTTATAACCTATGCACATCCTCCTATATCATCCCATATACTTTAAATCATCTCTAGATCACTTATAATATCTAACACAATGTAAATACTATGAAAATAGTTGAAAATACAATGTAAATGCTATGTAAATAGTTGCCGGAGAACAGCAAATTCAAGTTTTGCTTCTTAGAACTTTCTGGAGTTTTTTTTTTCCTGAATATTTTCAGTCCTCTGCTGGTTGAATCTGCAGACACAGAACCTGTGGATAAGGAGGACTGACTGTATATTGGCACACAGTTTCACGTAAAACCATGGTGACTCTAAAGGACAAGCAAAAAGAAAGAGGACAGGAAAACAGAGTCCTGAGTACCTGGACATAAGTCAACCTAAACTTGGGGAAGTGGATGTTTTCCCATCTACACAGAAATATATCTGAAAACCATCTCTGCACTTATGCAGGTGCTGAACGGCATTACTTATTCTTTGACTGTGGCATCTCTTCTTGATAGTATATTTTCTTTGAAACTGTGACTGTGAGCCACCATCAAACTACAACCCATTTCTCTAATCTAGTTTCCAGGTGCTCCTCTTGATATACTTCCTTTCTCCAGCTTGACTGACTCATTCACAGCTCCCAGTAGCTGCCCCATGCTTCCCAACTTCAGGCTTTTTCTTTTTTTTCTAACTCCCACTGCCTGAGAATGCTCAACCAGTCCATTTCATTTGCATTTCTACAAGTCCAAATTCTACTATACAGTGGAGAGGCAGTATTATGAAGTATTCAGATCATAGACTCTGGAGCCAGAGTGCCGGAATTCTTATCCTTGCTCCACTACTTACCAGCTGAGGGCCCTAGGAATGCTACTTAACCTCTTTGTGCCTCAAGTGCTTCATCTGAAACTGGTGATGATTACAGTAAACGAACTAAAGGGGTTGTGGTCAAAATGAATGGGTTAATATATAAAAAGAGCTAAGAGCAGTGCCTAGAACATAGGGAAAGTGTCAGCTACTGTTTTTTAACAGTGACAACAAGAAGATGATGACAATGACACTGTCAAAGCTCAAGTCAAATGTTTCTTCCTCCACAATGCATTTCCTGAACCTTCTATCTGGAAGAAATCATTCTCTCCTTGAATTCTTACAGCACTTTTAACTGTCATCTCTCTTAGAGCACTTCTGTCTCATTTTATATTATTTACACCGATATTGTCTTCCTTAGTGGCCTTTAAGTTTCCTGAGAGCAAAATCCACCTCTGACATGTCTCTCTGTCAGCCACAGCTCCTAACATGAAGCCCTGATCATAGTATCTACTCAAACATTTGTGAGTGGGTGGACATTTGGTATGCGCAGGACACTTTTGTCAGCACAGAGCCTCATCACTCTTACCACAACATCTTCCAAGATCTTAGTAGGGCAAGGCTTGGAATGAAATTCAAAGTGCTCATCCTCCAATTTCTTCCTTGACTCTCGCTCCTGGATCCTCTTCTCAATTTCCAAATCAAAGCCAATAGGCTGAGTGGGTGGCTTCACAGGTGGTTTCTTGGGCAAGATGGGACCACCTTCAAGAATTCTGGGATCAAGTTCCTGTGCTTTAAATTTGTATCTATAAGGTGAGAATTAAGTGATGACCATAAAAAAATGTTTTCAATAAAATGAAAACTACACAAAGAACAAAGTAAGCCAAAACCAGAAAAATAATAATCATTAGGCTTACCCATCATGCACAGCAAAATTTCAGCTCTCTCCAAGCCACTACCTCTACCTCAAGAACAAAGAATAAATAAGAAAGACTAACATTCCCATCACTTTAAAGACCAGGTTTGTCTTCAAGAAGCTTCCCCTTCTCAAAAGAAGTACAAGAAGGAATGAAAGGAACCAGGAGACAAACTCCAGTGCTAACCACATTAAGCTCCGGTTCCCTCCACAGATAATAGCTTTAATAACCCCTCAGGTAGCCATAAAAGGGTGGGATCTACCTAAACTAACCTCAGAGGACACTCCTTAACTGGAATTATAAGTAAGTTCTCCCACCCCAACTGCATCTTTACACTCCAGGACAGCTCCATATTCACACTTTCAATCCTTTCACCACAGAGGCAGGGCAGAGCCTGACACTCAAAAGCCACAATTCCCAAGGCAAGAGAAACAGCAACTGCCCCCTTACAGGACCAAGAAGAAAGTAGGCAGGTTCTTGGAACTCTTTCACAAATACTGTAACTTACTGATGCAGTTTCTCGAGCTCCTCAGCCTCCAGATCCGCCGCACTTTTGCAGGTCACAGGCCTTGCGCGCTGTTTGGTTTGCAGTATGGGAGTCTGGGGGTCTCTGCATATTTTGGCCACAGATTTAGAGGGTAACAGAGCTATAAAGCAAGATCACAGACATTCACTCAGCTCTCCAAGACCCCGTTTACCTGTAGGTGCTAACTCAGCTAGGCAGCCCAGAGATGCCAAACTACAGAGTGGCTGGCCCTCCACAACTCAGCTCAGCTCATGTCAGTCAACCTGACAAACATTCAGTCCCTTCTCCTCTGTCACTCTTTCCTGAGGGGTAACAATGAAGGTAGCCTTTGGGTAAACTCTACTATCATCTTCTGAACCTAGAATCCACCTGTATCTGATGGATTCCTTATCACTGCACAGGCCTGTGCTGCCTTTCTACTGACAATGCCAACTATTTTGCTTGTTACTGACAAGTAAAACTTTTGCTTATTCCAGTTTTAAAATAAGTCCTTTGTAAAGACCAAGTAATAAGTCCTAATATTATGAATTCCCTAAAAGCAGCTACATCAAAACATCAAGACCATCTCTCACAGAAAGCCAAATGGAAAAAGTAAAACAACTATGTCAAAGCATCGATATTAAGATCATCACCATCACTCACAGAAAATATTGATTTACCCAGCCAGGAGCAACCTTGTCAATTTTCATAATTATATAAAGTAAATCCTTTAAGTTAGACCTTATTACCTAACAGTAGGAGACAGAAACCAAATCTACTTATTTTAGAAATAACCCAGGCTTCAGGAATACCTATAACTATTACTGAGCTATAACTGTACAAAGTTTTAAATTCAAACTGCAGAGAATAATTTTTCTTTCTATTTGCCAGAACCAAGATTCTAAGAGCGGGGCATATCAGACCCTAAGAGTCATATGTCATCTGGAAAGTCATGGTTAATATCTGTATTTCCAGCAGGATAAAGAAAGACATTTAATTATTTTCATAATATAAAATTTGACAAATGGCTACTAGAACATAATAACAATATCAGGAAATGCTGCCCTTAAAGAAACTCGTCTGGCTACCTAACGTAGCTCTAAACAGTGTCTATACAAAGGTAGAAAAAATTTAGAAACCTTCAAAGGCAAAATAACCAGATTCTGCTTTATCCAACTATGCTACCCCTATGCTCTTGACAACCATTCTATATCACATCTCCACTCCTCAAACTTCTTTACCTTTTTTGTAGAATTATTTTCAAAAAGAAAGACACTATTAGACTAGATTCCTCTCATCTGTTCACCACTAAACCTATAAACCCATCAGCATTTGCACTCATTCCCCTCTTCCATCCTTTCAAAGAGCTATCACTCCACCTATGCTAAGTATCTCTCTTCTACCTGCCTGCACAGGGACTTAGTCATTGGTTATCTCTGTTCTCTCCTATATCTTCAACTTCTTTCCCTTCCAGGGACTTCTCAGCATACTTCTCTCTCCCTATCTTGTACCTCCCTTGATCCTTACATCTCCCTCCACATTCACAGCACTTACCATCTATTTGTTTCTGTCTCTCACTGAATTAGAAACTTGATGTTGAATAGCACCAAGTCTATTTTTCTCACTTCTACAACTCCCTACACCAAAGAGTGTCTGGTCTGCAGTGGTAAAACATTATGTCAAAACGCTAAACAAAAAGCACACAACCTTAAATGAATGGAATGCTTTCATTTTCTGTAGGTGAGTAAGTGTGCACTTTGACACATGGCAAAAATAGTCTTGTGTGTAGTGACATCTCACGTTACCTTAATTCCCCCTTCCCAATTATTGACCAGGAGGATCAAGGTGGACAGAGAGCTGGGTGGTTTGAGAAATGTTCAACTATGTATACATTTGTTGTCTGCCCATAGGCAGAATGCCATGCTTTAGTTCAAAAGCTAGGATCTCAACTAAAGGCAAATTTGTGCCTAAGATGTAAGCAAAGGGAATTCTAGCGGAGGTATGATTCTCCAACCAGGTATGATATTGGAAAGAAACTTACTAATATCATCCTTCTTGCTCCTCAAGTGATATCTGTTAGGGGTTCGTTTATGGAAGGCTTCAACCTGCTCTGCAAGGGGCACATACGTAGAAGCTGTTTCATCAAATGTTCTTTTCTTTCCTTGGGATAGGTTGAAAGGCATAACAATGGTGCATCCCTTAGCCACTCGGGCCTGAAAGAAAGAAGTTGTTCCCAAAACGAAGTGTTACGAAAGAGCTCAGATTGACCACAAGCCACATATTCAGCACAGACAATCAAAAGGAAAAGGGCCTGTGTAAAGCCAAGATAATTACTCTTCTTAGGTTTTTCAGTCCTTGAGCAAGGGTTATAACCAGGCTATTCCAATCTTTTAAAAAAAGGGAGAAAGGATCTAGCACTTAACAAATTGTCCGTCCTGTAATAGTTCATAAGATGATTTTTCCCAAGCATGTTAATGTTTTGAAGCAATTAAGAGCAAGTTTTCTTAACTGGAAGGGAAAACAATGGCTGCAAAGGTATCCCACTTCCATTCCCATTTAAAAAAAAAAAAAAAGAATTGGGTCTGGGTCTGGATCAGGTCAGACAGCTGCCTGAATCAAATTTCTCCACACATCCTACCAAAAACTGACTGATGAAGAAGCCTATTCCTAAGATCATTAATTTTGATAAAACTGGCCTCTGACTGGGGAAAAAAAAATCTTAAAGGACCTACATCTCAAAGGAAGAAGCACAATCCCAGGATTTACGACTGTAAAGGACTAACTTCAACAAGTGATGATGCTGACTGCAAATGCAAGTAGAAATTCTCACTGCTAGAATTTTTATTAAGGATTGTTACTGTTTTTGTTAGTGCTCTGGTAACAAAACTGCATAGGATCTGAGTGGTCTGCCCCAACCTCATTCTCCTCATAAACTCTGTTATATTTTGTACACAACCTTGCAGACACAAGCTTTTTTCAAAAATTTCGTAATCGCACAAGCTGTAACAAGCCTATACTTAAAGTTTGCCACACACAATTCTGTGTTTTGCATACATTCTCAATTCAATTTTCACAGCAACTTGATGCCGCCCAGAGACATAGAATGATTTATCCAAGATTATACAGCTAACAGGAGGCAAAGTGAGGGTGTAGATCTACCTTAACTCAAAAGCATATGCTTCTCTCAATTACATTATTCTAAGTAGTGACCACAAATACTACACCAAATCCTCACTGAATTAGTAACAAAAATATTAATTTAGTCCATTAGCTTACAGGAGATTGAGGATGCTTTCGCAGTTCAGATGTAAAGTTCACTTCCTTATACTCCTCCTGGTTCTTAGGATGTTGTTTAATTCGCTCATCTGTGCGGAAGTGGAAGTCAACTGATTTGGTTACCTGACTCACCGATTTCTTCACAGGGTGCCCTAAGTGAGGAGCAGAGTAAAACACACATGTAACACTAAGAATAGAGAACATAAAGTAAGTCCCCATTTAACCAGTCCTTTTGGTATTTCTATTATCATAGATTTGACTTTGTTTACACTCCACATACAACCCAACACTTGAAACAGTCCTCAGGGAAACCAATATATGTGCCTTATTCACTGAGTACTATCGGGTTGGAGGCCCTTTGGTCAAACTACAATAAGGTAGCACAGGGAAGAAGAATCCCATCTCTGGGTGTGGTCATAGCTCTGGTGACACAGAGTAACTGGAACACTTCTGGTAGGAAAAGCTATGAATTAACTTTAAAATACACTCAACTAAGCATCTCTAAGAGAGAGACCCTATAAACACTAGAGATGCTTTTTCAACCTGGTAAACAGAGCTTTATAACTTGACTCCACCAATAATAATTATGCCAGAGCAAAGGAGAAATCTATCCCTTCAGGTCCCTCATCCTTTTCTTCCATAGCTACTACTGGATTCACTCAGCTTTCTCTTCCTCTGCCTAGGACAAAATGGGAAAACAGCAAAAAACTGGTCTGCCCAATTGCTTTACCTTCTGTCTCAATCCTATTCTTTCTTTTCTAATACAAAGAAAAGGAATTAGGAGGAAAAAGAAGGTGGGAGTTAATTTTACTTGGAGAAAGGAGGGAAGTCCTCATGAAAAAAGGCCTCAAAAGATAGGTATGACTTCTCCAGTTAAAGATGGAGAGGAATATCACGCTCTAAGAAAGGACCAATGTATGTAAATTGTTCTAGGAAATGATCATTGGGATAGGAATGGTACCCATGTTAAGCCTTCTAAGTAAACACATCTTTTTATGCTGACCACTGACCAAGACAGACTTTTTTGCTTTAGAGACTTCAAAAACCCTACCAAGATTATGAGAAACACCCCCTCATAAATCAGACTCAGTCAGAACTAAGCTGACCTGCTCCTGAAAGAGCAAATTTCTTGAATTCTTCATTCTTTTTCCGCATCTCCATCACCTCTTGCTGCATTTTTTTTCTCTTCTCTAATTCTTGCTCCTCAGTACTTTGTAGAATCTTCTGCCTAAACAGCAAACCAGTAAAGGAGATGAGAGGGGACAGGAGAAAGAGACTCAATGTTTCAAAAAATCTAAAGGGATTATATAGATTAGATTTTTAACCTATGACAAAATAACCAGCGAAACCAAAAAATATTATCTAATAAATCAATATTAACTTAGGTAACACTATGGTAAAAAGATACAAAATTTATTCCAAAATATTGATGAAAATTTAGAAATAGTTAAATTTAATTTTATAGAATGTTAACAATCTTTCAAAAAGGGGTAAAGGTGAAGATTTTGCAGCAGTACAGAAAATAAAATAGTCTCACAGTGAATGAGTAAAGCAGAACCCAAAGACTGTTTATATACTGATTATAAAAAATATGCATTTCACTTAAGTAAAGTTCAGAATGGAGCTTGGCAAAATAAAAACTGTTCAATTTAGATAGTTATAACCTTTACTAACTTTTTCCTTTTATATTTCTTTTACATTTGTTTTAATAATATATTTTTCTCAATGTGTAAGACTCAAGTATCCACAAGGACATAAAACAATTTACCATACCAAGGTTACAGCTTTAGGAGTTTCCCAAGCTCCATGTGCATCAAACAGATTGTAAATTTACCCATTTGTAATTTTATTCTACTGAGTCTAAAGCTGAAATTCAGGAAAGAATCATACCTTACAGGTGGGATACATGGCACAGTATGCCTGCTCTTGGCTTTCTCTGGGGAAGACTCATTCTTTTCAGAAATATCTTGATGAGCATTGCTTTCTTCCTCTTCCTTTGCCTTCTTTTTATTTTGAGAACTTGAGTTCAAAAGGACAAAAAACATCCTCTCAGTTCCCTGCAGCATATCCTGCTCTACCCTCCTCCCCAGATCTACCACACATGGCTTAAATTCTCTCATTCTTTAGGACAACCACCATGCTTCAGCAGCAAGATTCTTCCAAATACTATCAATCAGATCATATATACCAACGGCTACAATGGGCAAACTTTGAGAATACCAACAGAAGTCAAGGTAAAAGTTGTCTGGTGATGGTTCAGGAGGATAGGAAGGGATTCCAAATGCTCATCATCAAATGAACAAATGCCAGACAGCTAGTTGTCTTCCTAATATGTAGCCACCTTCTTTCTTATTAACACAACTCCTATTTTGTTTGGGGCAACAATGTATGAAGGCAAAAGATATTATACTTGTTTCAATCATCTCTACTGCAACTAGAGGGGATCTAATTTACAGTTTGGTCAACTGAGGTATAAGATAAGGGTTTCTGGAAAATATTTCACTTTCCTGATATGGGTGCTGCCCCTCTTTCTTTGCCAGACCCTTCTCTTGAACATGGATATGATACCTACAGATATACAGCAGCTATCTTGTAACAATGAGACAACAAGTACAAGGAAGAAGCTAAGAAACAAAGAGCAGCCACCTTGAGCAACAAGTATGGGGAAAAAAAAAAAACTAAGACTCACAGAGACGTCACTGAACCAAATAAAGCTAGCAGTAAACTAGACTTGTGTGAAGCAAATAATTCACTATTCTTTAAGCCACTCTAGTTAAATGGCTGTTACCTTCGGCAAAATACATTCCCAACTGATAAAAATAAGAACAAGCACCACATATTCCACTTGCTATTATCACAGGAGCGAACAGAGGTAAAACCTATGCCAACTGACAGAAGCTG